TGTTAGAATTTAATGATTATACTAATTATATTTTAGATTTTTTATATTTAAAATGAGATGTTTATCATGTATTTGATTGTGTTTATCTGCARTTAGTTACACGAATTCAGATATGAGATGAAATCGGATGGGGATGAAATCGTTTAGGGATGAACGAGTTTAAGAGTTTTAGTCAAATGCTTTATAAGATAGTATAGATAAACTATAGATCAGATTTCCAGCTATAAAAACTTTATGGAGTTGATTCATCTGATTCTAAAAAGACTTGGTATAAAATGTGTATTCTTGAAACTGAAGATTAAATGATCAAGAATTATGTCAAATGGATTCTCCTTATCGGATGGAGAAGATTTAAGACAAACGATTTGATCTCACAGTTTATACAAGTTGAGGATCCGATGAATTGTTCCACATCCGAAACCTTAATCTTAAGGTTCAGATGTTAATCCTTTGGAGTTATATCCGTTGGATATGGTTTATCGGATATACTCATTGTAAGACAAGTGATTAATAATTTCTTTCTAAGTGTTTAATTAGATGCTAAATGTATCATTTACAAATCCAATAATTGAGACCAATAATCTCCCTCAATTTGTCAATAATACGAATAGATATAAATGTGGGAAACATTTGGAAAAAAATGGTACCGAAATTTACAAGCGAAAAATGAAATCGAAACCCATAACTTCAGTGATGCATTTTGTATTCTTGTCTCTTTTTGTTCTTTATTTTTCTAAGGCCCTTTTTCCTTTTCTGCTATTTTGTTTTCTTCCATCTTTTTCTTTTCATTCGGATTACAAAACAATACATATAAATACATAGAGATAATAATGAATTTTACCTACACAAACTAAAATACTGAAAAATGTAAACTTTCATTTAAACCGATCATATATCAATATGTTATAGTGAAATCTTACATCGGATAGGTTGATTTCTTTCTCAAAATATCAGATCTTCAAATTTTATTTCACCAATACCTCTGCAAGTTTGATCAACTCAGTTTTTCAGTACAGATCTTATGCCATATTTGAATGCCCCTCCATACTCATCTTTTGGAGCTATTCTGAGAAGTGCATGGAGATGTCATGTGTCAGCTATAGGTAACTCAGTCGGTCGTTGGAATCTTAAATCACTAAAAAGATCATATAAATACATCATTGCAACTGGAAGGAACAATTTTGTTCCATGTGGCATCGGATCTTCAGGTGGTAAAATTAGATCAAGATTGGTGGTAATAGGAATATTACCAGATAAGACAAGAGACTCGATAATCTTCGGATATGTTTCGATCTTGAGAGGAACATGAGGAACATTTATTGGTTCTGAAGGTGTTGAGTCGGATGAACGAACAAAGGTTTGAAAAGATCTTTCAAAGATTTTGAGAATCTTTGGATAGTCGTATGGTTTTAGTCCTTTGGGATGACTGATTCTTCGTTGAAGATCCCAGTTTGGCTAAAGAGAGTAACTTCGTTTTTGCTTAGAGTTAGTATAGACTTGGGTATGTTTTGAAGGTTCTTTTGGAATTAGAGTTTCTTTAGAAATAGGACCAAAATAGCTACCAAGAAAGTTGCAAGAAAACCCGATACTCTTTTTGGGCATCTCTAACAGATACTCCAAAAATGGAGAATCAAAAGTCAAAATCTCGTTAAAAAAAATTAAGGTTCATCTCCAACAGCTTCTTCATTTCGGAGGTTATAATGTTAATTATATTATTAAAATATTCAAATACAATTCATAAAATATTACCTCTCTAAACATTTAATTTCAAGAATTCTAATTGGTAGAAAGAATAAAAAATCATTTTTTTTTCTAAGTAATCATTTTAGGAGAATTCTCTAAATTGGAGATTTTCATCATCTCTTTCCTACTTTCTCCATTTTGGAAAAGGTTTTGGAGAATCTGCTGAGCAAAAATCTTCATTTTAGAGAATGTGTTGAAGATGCTCTTTAAAACAACCATACTACTACTGTGAGTTTTTTGCCCACTTTAATGCTACTGTAGCAATATGATGAAATCTCCACATAAAAAAACACACTTTTCTGCTTCTTCCTTGATATGTAATTTACTCTTACATGTTATTTTAAATGGATAGGATAACAGAATAATCCTTACCCTATCCCTTACAAACCCCTCATCTTTAGATGGAATTTGCATACGGTAACATCAAAGATGGAGAAGGGGACGGAAAATGGAGGTTGTTGGCGGTGGGGGTTGATGGTCGGGCTTGAAAAACAGCAGAACAGTGGTCTCCGACGACTTTGACGAGGGAGGGGAGGTTGTTAAATCATTTTTTAATTGATTTACCACACTTAAATCTAAGCTTTAAACTCTTGTATACCAAAATTAAATTCTAAAATATATTCTAAAATGACTAAAATACCCCTCATACGATTAATACATGAATGCATTTAATGGATCTATTTAACGGACGAGGGGTATTTTAGTCATTTTAAGAGGATATAGTTTTTATTTAAGGGGATTGCTATTCACATCTCTCCCCATCTCATTCACATACCCTGTTATAGGACTTATGAATAGAATTCACCTACAAAACAGTTCTTTTATACATGATTTAGGTGAAATTATTTATGTTCTACAAAGCAAATGGATTCTTTTTTGTTAAGACAAATTCAAGTGTCCCTTTTCAATCTATCAATTAACCCCTAACCCATTATTATTTGGAACCTCTTACATAATTTGGTCCCCTAGTCATTCTTTTCTCTGACTTACTCAGATATCATTATCTCCGTAAGTGGTACCTCCCCTACTTGCGGACCTAGCTAAAAGACAAAAAAAAAAGAAAAAAAAATCAAAATGTAGACTTGGCCGTTGCAATCACGGATCTGACCTTTGCAATTGCATACCTAAGTCAAATTTGATAACTTTTTTGTCTTTTAGCTGGATCCATAAGTGGCAGATATCAGACTTGCGGACATAGTGATATTTGGATAAATCAAGGAGAGGAACGCACCAAGAAATGAGTGTTATTTTTATAATATATAATAATGATATGCAGAGGTTGATTAACAGGAGATAAAAGAGTTTGGATTGAATTCCAGCAAATAGCATATACCACTTGCATTCTTCAAAAAACAAACATATATAAATATTTGAATCTGGTGATTATTGATTAACCAAACTTCATTACAAACAAAAAGGTTTACAAGATTTCTCTTTCTCTTTCTCTTTCTCTTTCTGCCCAACAAACACTTCAAGTCTCTTGTCTTTTTCACACCTGCATTCCCAGAGATAATTGTATTCAAACTTATAACCATCATCATGAAGCCCATAATAATGGTGAACAGTTCGATTTCGGTGGAAATAGAGATTGCCAACCAGTCTACACCAAGGTGGTTAGTCGGTTTTGGTCTTTTGTGCTCACCCCTCTCGTTCAAAATAGTGTGTTTCTTTACTCAAATGTGATGTTGACACTTTTGAAAGATGATACTAACCTTAGTACAAACATAGATGTAATGAACATCCATGTTTTCGAGAGGACCACCTTCCCTCAAGCTTCCATCACTATTAACTGGAACCGGACAAGTTAGCTCCCATGTCCCACGCTTTGAACTCTCTCCTGGTAGAAGCTTATCTGTATCCATACACAATTTCACTCGAAACATTTAAAATTCTAAACCATATACATAAAAATAATAAAATAAACCCAATATATCGGCATCCAGAGGTGGGGGGTTAGGGATGCAGACCGTAGCCGTGACATCTACCCTCAAAGAGTTGAGCGGCTAAATATGCTGCTATAAAACTTATATATCAAAAAGAAACTTTAAACCACCTATCACATGAAGCTTTATGGCCCATGAGTGCGATTCTCTTAACAAACGTAGTCGGTAAGCTGGGATACCATACGTTATCTGCAACATTTTTTCATGGTCGTCAGCAGCATCAACTGAAAATCTTTAATACTCAGCACCAGTTAGTAATGAGCTTACCAGAATATAGACTCCTTCCTTCTTCAGGACCCTATAGTTTGTCATCAACTGCTTCAATATATCAACGTATCAAAATGGAAAACGGATATCCAACTGTCATCAAATACATAAAAAATAAAAAACAACTTTTTTCGAAGTATACCTTTCAACCTCCTCCAGCATCTTGGCAGCATTTGTTTTTGAGTTGTGACCACACTGCAACAAGAGACTTGCCATTACTGATTAATTCACGTGCGCATTCCTGTGTAACACAACAAAGAAAACTCACCAACAGAGAGTCCAAGGTTCCTGGAAACACCATATTTAAAAAGAAAGTGTTAGAAGCCAGTTTACAATTGTGAAATTAAATTAGATGATTTATGTGAAAAAACAACATTCTAAAAATCCCCGCCTATTCAATGGCAGCCTAGGCATCAAGTGTTCCCTCAATGCTTTGATTAGTTAAATCAAACCAAACCTAACGAGCCCAGTATATCCCATCCAGAGGTGGGGGTGTTCCATGAGGACCCCTGCGGCTAGTGAAAAGTGTGCGAAAGGAAGAAATACAGATACTAGATATGAGTAAGCAATAGCAATACAAGTAGATTTGTTAACGCCACTTAATCAGCTGCCTAAGAGTTGATTATATTTTTTTTATATTGCAATGAGCTGCTTATAGTTCCGCCTAAATGTCCATTTAATCCCCGGTTAGCTGATTCAGCACCAGAAGGTCACCAGAAAAGAAAGATACCTTTGTCAATAACTGCATCAAAAGAACCGGATTCAAAAGCTTTCATATCCCTAACATCCATATGGATATCTGCTTTAAAGTCAAGGGTTAAAGAAGCAAAATGACAAGCCACATCATGTGTTGATAAAAATTCAATATACAAAAGCTACAATACGAGCAATAGATACATTTCAGATGGGGGGAACCGGAGTATTTCTTCTGCATTGCGTCAATAACCACGGATGATACATCAATATTCACAATATCAGTATAACCATCCTTGCTCATGCCTTCACTAAATACTGCAAACAAGTAGATATTTATTATATGTAATTGTTAGTCAGAGAGATTGCAATGAAGAAGCATAAACTGCGTAAATACAAGAAAGATGGTCAAAAAATGAACCACATAAAACAACTTGCATAGTATTCTTGTTGGTCATTTAACATATTCATTTTGTGGATCTCATTTATATTGTGTGAGAATAAATGAAATGTGAGCTTGGATCTCAATTACTTCTATTTTTCTTATTATAATTGTGATGTCCAACCGACCCTTGGGGTTGGGGCCTTGGGGGTCTAATTTATTTGTTGTGAGAAAACTAAGGGAGTCACAAAATAGAAATTGGATAACAGAGAAAAATGATAGAAAATTGGAAAAAAAATTATAAATGAAATGTAGCTCCAATCTCAACATCATTCTTTCTTAGGCGTAGGCAATCCATTTGCTCCAAAAGGGATTTTCTATGAAAAACAAAGAGCTCGTGTGGACAAGAAAGACTACGGTTAAATCAATGAATATGTCAACCAACCCAATAAATAAAACTTGTGATGGAACTAATACCATTATGATAATTAAAGATCTTCGATTTGCCACCAACTGCAAACCATTACACTGAAACGAATACAACCCTCCCCTCACCTATCAATGAACGGCGGTTTGAGCTGCATCTATGGCACTAACATGAGTTGTTTTAAGAGGGAAAGAACAGATAGTATCAAAAACTGTGTACAGAACCTTGCAACTATCATATGTGCTAATTCTGGAACAAACACCTACTAATTCCATTGGAGATACATGGGAATTATTATGAACCGTCATCTTCTAACCCCTTTGATTTCTTTATTTTGGTGAAATAATTATCAGGGTGGAATGGAGTATATTTTCTTGTAAAGAATCAACTTCTTTTTCTGTCATCTTCTAACCCCTTTGATTTCTTTACCTTGGTGAAATAATTATCAGGGTGGACTGGAGTATATTTTCTTGTAAAGAATCAACTTCTTTTTCTATCAAAACCGGATCCCAACCTGGACGAAATAACCACAAAATTAACTAATGAGTATGGTGAGAAATTATTGATGGTTCACTAGCAATGGCTTATGAGAGGCTCATAATTTAGAAGCGCAACCAATGTGGGATGAGTGTACAAACTCACACATTTAAATTCCTAATGATATCGTCAAACTCGAGCAGAAATGGAACAAAATTCCAAAACCATCATCCCATGAGTCATGAAGGATCCATCATCCAATAACCCACAGGTCAAACTGAAATGAGATCTATAGATTCAGACCTACATCAAAGATAAGAAACCATTTGTTATGCAATAATCCTAGTACCAACCCATATAGCCACCAAGGCACCAACCACTAAACCTTAATAAACCAAAGTGTCTTTGGCCTAGCAGTATCCGGGCCTTCGACTTCCCAGGGAGTCGGGGGTTCAATCCTCACCAAAGGTGAAGAGAGTGTGTGTGAGTTTATTTGTTGCATTTGCTGTATATAAATACTATAACTTCAAAACTAAACCGTAATCAGATGCCATAGCTGGCTTATTATCAATAACTCATGACTGGCTCACAGTTCACAATCACAACTAGCAGGCTCCTAATTCATAACCAAAAGCTAGGTGGGATGGGATGTTGCACATAAGTTTGCATTCAAGCAAACATCAAGTGTGACCTACGGGACTACCTCTGTGCAATTCTTCAATCTAAATGCGTTAACAAGGAGAATTTCATTTCTTGTCAAATAAATCGTATCTAGGATACACAATTATGCGCAACTAGGATCCACTTTTGGCTAATTTCAACGTATAATCCGTTATCAACAGTATATAAAGAAGTCTTCGCCCAATGCTGCAAACCAAGAAACGAACCCTATTTTAACACACATGTTGACACGTTCAGCCGATCCAACATGAAACGAAAGTAACAGTATATAGGTATCAGAAGAAAATATTTTATGGATCCAATCAGTCGAAGATAAGAAAATCAGAAACACGAGAGAGATGGGGATAAATACCAGAATTCCCGCAACCGACGATAAGGACTCGCCGGTGAGTAGTCGTGGGAGGGACGTAGAGATGTAGGAGAGGTGCCAAAGATTCATACTTCTGATACCAATCGAAAGTAGCTGTTGATTCCTTTGCATATCGTTTGTCCCAATACCATGCCTCTCCGTAAGCTTGAGTCATCTCCGTTTCCGTCGTCGATGAGTTACTCCGGTGGCCGGAATTTGAGTTCGATGATTCTAAGAAGAGTTGGACCCCGTTAAATTGACTCTGCTCCCGACTTTTTCCCTTTTCCTGTTGTTCTAATCCGGGATCGGGGTATATTTGTCAATTTTTCCCTTTATCTATATTATAACAAGTACAGAACAAAATTTTTTAAAAACCATTTTTTATTCGTAAAGTACTGTTTATTAATATATATTACTTAAAACTTAAGATTACAAGTAGATTGTGCGTAAGTACAACTTATTAAAATTTCATATATGAATTCGTGTAACTAACTGCAGATAAACATAATTAAATACAAGATAAACATTTCATTTTAAATATAAAAAATCTAAAATATAATTAGGATAACCATTGAGTTCTAACAGAATACTTAATTATTATCTTTATAAAATGTTATATTATTAAAACATCATCGATTTTTTCAAAATCACATAAGACTATATTATAACATCAATTGAGATAAAAAAATAAAATAAAATATTAAAATCAAGATGTATCACGCTGCATTATGCGAGTTTCCTTCTAATATGCTCTTAAATAATTTAGAGTATTTTAGTTTGTTATTTGTATCCCTACTCTTTAAAATCTATTCAACCCAAAATACCTCAAAATGCAATAAACTTTGGTTTACTTATTGGGTGTTTGGGATTGCTTATAAAAACAACTTATTGATTTATTCTGGTGTTACACTTATTCCGGTGTAACACCGGTAATAAGCATTTTTAAGTGTTTGGATAAACAACTTATACCGGTGCCAAACCGGTAATAAGGAATTTTTGAAAAAGTTAAACTCTTCTGACTTATAATAAGTTGAGTGTTTTTGTAGAAAACCATAAATTGTTTCAAATAAGCAATTAATGTAATAAACTTTCATATTTCCCTATTTTGTACATATTTTAACCGGCAACCTAGTGATCCGGTAATATTTAATGACGTGGCACTTTACCAAGGTGATTCCATGGGTCAATTTCTTTTTTATGTACTCCATGTTTTTATAATAAAAAAAGAAAAATCAGGTTTCCCTCTTTAATTTTATTAAAAACTCGTAGACAACTTTTTTTAAGAATTTTCTTATTGTACAAGTTGTAATAACTCTATGTAAGTTTTCTTATCGTCTACCCTCTTCTTTGGCCACCCTCCTCTTTTCCAAGCATACCTCCTCCAATGGCTACCCCTCTCTCTCTCTCTCTCTCTCTCTCTCTCTCACACACACACTACGAAGAACAAAGGCAACAATGAAAAACAATCCAATCCACCGACCATTGTGAGAACATAAGAAACAATCAAATCGAGATGTTTCACAGAAGCAAATGTGAGGGCCATACAATCAACTTGAGACGCTTCATACTCTTTTCTTGTTCGAACCATAGAAGAAGACGTGAGGAACGATAGCATATTCAAAATCCATTTGTTTCTGTTTTTCCATCTAACTCTCTGTCGTGGAGTCATTTGTTGATGTAGTGGTTGTGGGTACGAAAGCAAAGAAGAAAAATCAGACATGCAGACACCAATATGGGTTCTTGACTTCGATGTAGATGGAGGTTGTCTTTGGGTTCAATGGACATGGAAGATCACAGTGGTTGTTGTGAGGCATAGCCGAAGAAGGGGAGCCGTGGAGTTGTCGATGTGTAGAGATCTCGTCGGAATGTTTGATGTCACTGGAGATTTGGAGAACGATGGGGGTTGAAGATGGAGTCATGGAGTAGGGAAGTCACGTGTGTTAGGTTTTGTTTTCTGTTTTTCTAATTTTTGTTACACTTGTGCTTATCATTAAAGACTTTTACACTTAATTTTTGTTGGCCACGTCAATATAAACTTGTGCCATGTAAGCCAATAACTTGTTTAAAAGGTAAAATATGTACAAAATAGGAAAATAGGAAAATATGAAAGTTCGTTACATAGATTAAGGAAAAAAAGAGTTTACACTAAATAGGAAGTAAACCAAAGTTTGTGGCAGTTTGATGCATTTTGCCCTTTTTTATCATTGTGGTTTCTAACTCGTTTCGTTTTTCGTTCCTGAAGCTAACTCCGTTAAGTTAAAGAAATTTGGTTCTTTTTTTATCTTTTTCTTATTTTATACGGTAAATTACAATTTTCGTCTTTGTGATTGTATGAAATTTTGAATTAGTTTCTCTAAACAAAATAATTATTGTTATGCTCATCGTTGATTCATTTTTAGTAAGAGATTGGGTGGGTCCCTTGACCTAACTCTATTAACTTAAACTCCGTTGCATTGGGAGCATTTTGGTTCTTCTACTATTTTTCTTTTAAGAAATAGAAAATAATGTATATATACACGCACGTAGTGAAATACTCGACTGCCTCTCCCAAACATTGTTCCTGCCGACGCCTTCTATCTTCTTCGACATCTCATTCATCCCTCATCTCAGTGCACTCACCGCCACACTACACAGTTCACCAACACACTTCACATTTCCCTCGCCCATAATCGTCTGCAACAAGATCAACGAGATCGTCTGTATCCAAAAAGTGGTGCAATGATGGCGTTGTTGGTTACTCCTTCCCTTTGCCAGCTCCCTCATTATTTATGTCGATGGAGAACGTTGTCGGTTGCTCATTCCCATTGTCTACTCTTCCCATCGTTGGTAAGAAACTTCTTCCTCCTCTTCAAAAACTATACACCCTCCCCATCGTTTTTTATGCCAGTGGTATTCAAGTCGCCAGAGTTGGTAGAAGATTTGGTCTCTTTGTGGATAAATTGACGAATGTATATATATGTATACTAATGATTTGGTATATGGTGTTCTTGTAAAAGTCTCTTATGGTTTTGATAGATGATTTGGTCTTTGGTGTTGTTTGCTGGTTTAATTCAAACCATACCCAAATTATATAGCTTTTTATTTCATTTATGGACTCATATATCAATGATCATAAAATGAATTTGAAAAGATATTTAGTTGACTAGGCTGAGTTTTGGTAATCATGGGTGGGATTTAGGTTTAGTTTTGATGAGTGAGGGTTGGTTTGGGTTGATTTGGTGTGTGTTGTATGTTATTTTGTATGTGTTTCTGGTATTTTGTGGTGTCCAAAAATGGGATATTTTTCAGAGAAGATGATCAGAAACTAGATGTGTGTTATTTTGTGTGCGTTTTCTCCTATTCTTCAGTTTTTCAAGGTGAGCAAGTTTTTTTTTATCCCATCTAGGTTTCATAAACTCAATTCTCAGTAATTTCTGCTATGTGTTTGATAAAATGCACCAAAAATCTTTAGTTGCTTGCTTCAAGATTTTCTTTAAATCAATTGATTCTTAATGAGTTAAATTTTTTTGTAGATTGGATTTGGTATTCAGTCTGCTAGATATTTAAAAGTTGTATTTTTTTTGAAGTACATAATATTTATATACGACAAATAGAACAAATAAACTTACACACTCTCATCACCTTTGGTGATGTTTAAACCCCTGACCGACCAAAGACTCACATATCGCTAGGCAAAAGACACGTTGGTGAAGCTATATTATTGGAGAGTAATTATAGATTTGTTGAATAGCAGTTTTTGGATCAATGGATGTTAAGAGATATGTAAATTACTTGTGGGTATTCTTAGGGTTTGTATTGATATATGTGGGTGTGATTTCTCTTGCTACTATTCCTACAGTTGTGAGGATGTGAGTTTTAGAGTGTTGTCGGAGGTGATGGAGGGGGAGGGGAGAAAAAATAATTTCTACATAATAATAATTATATAGGAGAAGGATCGTATGAGAATGAGAGTTAAAGTGAGAAGCGTAAGAAATGATCTGGACCTTTGATCACCTTTGATCTCAAACCTACCCATTAATCACACTTGATACGGGGATTGATCCAATGCATCTCATCTTAATGTGCATTCAAGACTGGGAATCCCTTATTATGCTTCTCACCTCAACTCTTTTTCTCACCGGAACACAAAACTAGTTATTTATCATACAAAAAGAATTAATAAATATGATCAATCACGAAGTTACACCAGCAGATTAGCTCATGCACTTATTTTTCAAATAAATATCAAAATTGGACAATATTTCTTCAAAGACTTGGTAAAGAAGATAAATGCCAAAATAAAGCAAAAACAAGTACCATGCATCCGACTTATCTCTTTGTTGATTGTTGACATGTTGGGAAACAAGATCCCATCCAAAATGCCATTTGATGTATATCCGAATCATTTATCATTTCCATCCGTTTATACGAAGGTATTCCCTTTGGATCCGACAATTCCGCTAGGTATGGTTGTCTTTGCCAAAACAAGTGGTCTTTCTTGCAATGATAATTCTACTAGAGAAGCAACTGGGCTCTTTCTCAATGCCAAAATTGCATCTCTTGCTAGAATACATCCTCAAGAACGATCATCTTCTTCATCTTCCATAATATCCAACAAAAGATCTAGAACTTACTTTGATAATTCTGAAAACGATCTTCAGATTCAACCATTATTGGACCAAGGACTTGCTTTTATTGGTCAAAGTTTTATTCCTATCTCCTTTTTTAAGATTATGATGCCAATAAAACCATTGACATCTCCTCAAATCTCACAACCATCGGAAATCATAAAGGAACAAGACTTCGCTTACCTAGCCAAAGAGACTCCCAGGGTCAAGTTTAATCCCTCAGATATTGACTTTTCACCCAAAGTCATTTATCAAGCCAAATCAGTCCCATACTCCCATGGCATTCGAACCCCAAGCCTTCTCTACAGGATATTGTTGATAAATCGGATCCTCACCACAATACCACTCCTATATCTCAAATATGGGCAATTGATTCAGACTCATCTCATGTAACACCCAGAATTTTACTATGAGAAATGTTATGTAATCTAAAACAGATTCTCCAATAACACTCTAAAATAATGGCTAAACTAAAACTTTAGACCGTTTACATCAGAAGACTTTATAAGATTAAATATATAACTTAAAGCCAACTCATTCCATACCAAGTTGCTTTAAAAATTTATCGATCATAAATGATTGTACATAAATATTGAACTTAAATGAACTACATAAGTCTCTATATCTGCCCTTTTTCCTTTGTCCAACTTGAAACTTTCTGTCTCTGAGATGC